ATTGGTTCCACATTTCTTTGAAGAGTAAAACCAAAACCTCATCAGGCACAGAACCTACTTTGTGGCAAAACCACTTTTTGGTTTACAGAATCAGGAAAGCCAGAAGGGTATTAATGCATCATTCTTAATCTTTGCTTTATGAGTAGTATGAGCTACGCTGCGTCCTTGCCTAGCCATGTACTGAACTACACCTCTTCACCTCACAGAGTGCAATGGAAAGGCACTGGTAGTGCCTTCAGTGTAAATCCAAACCCAAAGTGCAGCTTTAATCTTAAGCAGTGCTCCAAGTTCACATTGGAGCTGGTAGCACCTGCAGGAGAAGATCATAATCGTCCAAGCACTGTGCTGATCAACACTTCGTATTCCTGTGCCACTGTGGCCACCAGTGGAAGTGGTTCATGCATCAAAACTGTTTTTCACAGTAGAAATCTTTCACTGCTAGTCTGCCTTCATGTGCTGTACTGATGGGAATATCCACCTTTTTGCTGTACTTATTTTCAGATTTTATTCAAAACCTTACTGAAAATGTTCTATTACGGTAAGATATATTTTAATTGCTTTACTTATAACATGTATTTGAATATCTAAAATACATGTTTAGAACTGACTACTAAAGGTACACAATTATCTCTTATTTAACAGGAAAGATTGTCTCAAACTTCTGAAGTATCTTCTAGAGCGACTCAAAATGAAACATGCAAAAGAATTGGACAAATTCTGTTCATATCATGTCAAAACTGCCTTTTTCCATTCATGCGTCAGTTGGCCAAGTGACACGGACTGGCAGTATGAAAACCTGGAACACTGTTTTCAGAAGTATCTGGAATATTTTATGCATTGTCTGCAAGATTCTCAGCTGCCACACTTTTTTATTCCCCAATACAACTTGCTCAGCCTGGATGATAAAGCAAGCAATGACTTCCTTTCAAGACAAATAAACTATCAGTTGAACAATGGATTCCCAGTATTTCACCAGGTGTAGGTATTGTAAATACTTTTTTTTACTATCTGAAAGCAAGTAAAGTAGATTTGCATATTTTAAAGCTTAAGTTTAGCACTTCATATTATTTCTTAGTAGCTTGATACTATGGAGAAACAAAACAAATCAAGAACGCTAACAGAAAATTGTGTTTCAGTTACATTGCTTAGTCATATTCCTTAGGAGAACCAGGACATTCGAATTAATATTTGATAGGAACAGTTAAAAAAGTAACCTGACTCTAATGAGAAAAATTCTAACAAAGAATAATGGTTAAAACAGAAAAGAAGGCACCTGCCAGCATAAAAATTTCAGCAAGAGAACCAGGCCTGAGAACTCGGCCTTGTAACAGAGCCTAGGAACACAGACATCCCTGAAGCATGGCTGAATACCTCATACCAGTGCCATCCTGAAGATATCATTGGTACACATATAGATTCAATGTATGTGTGTACACCTGTATATATATGCCTATGTGTATATAGATGCTCATGCTACATAAATGTATATATATAATATGTATATTCTACAAGAAATTGAGCTGCTCAAGTGTGTGCAGGAAAGAGCAATGAAGCTGGTGAAGTGACTGGAAATCAAAATGTGAAGATCCTGTTGGTCTCTACAACTACCTGAAAGGTGGCTGCAGTGAGGAAAGCATCAAAGCCTAAACTGGTGGACAGTGCAATGCTTCTATAAATGATCTGGGTACAGGAATCAAATGCCTACTAGGCATATGGAATTAGAAGGAGCTGTTGACTTCCTTGGAGCAGAGACTCATACAAAAATTTTGACAAATTGGAGAACTGAGCAATCATCAACTGCATGAAGTTCAACAACAGCAAGTGCAGGATTCTGCACGTGAGATGGAGTAAAGACTGGGGAACAACAGGCTGAAAAGCAGACCCAGAGAAAGGGATCTGGAGGTTTTAGTTGAATCTGACTCAGCAGTGTCCTTGCAGCCAAAAGAGCCAACTGGTGCATCAGGCCTGGCACTGCCAGCCAGGAAAGGAAAGGGACGGCCCCACTGTGTGTTGGTGTGGCACGAGACACATAACATAAAGACAAAACTATTGGAGAACATCCAAAGAGGGGCTTCAAAGATGCTGAAATGTCTGGAGAGCAAGGTGTACCAGGACCAGCTCAGGTCCCTGGGTTTGCTCAGCCCAGAGCAGAGAAGCTGAGGGGAGGCCTGATGGCAGCTGCAGCTCCTCCCAGGGAGCAGAAGGGCAGTACTGAGTTCTGCTCTGTGTGACAGTGACAGGGCCTGAGGGAATGGCAAGGAGCTGTGCCAGGGGAGGGGCAGCTCGGGGTCAGGGACAAGGTCTGCACCAGAGGTGCTCAGGCCCTGGAACAGCCCAGAAAAATCCAGGTTGAAAATACCTTCCCTGTGGACAGGCTCCCAAGGGAAGGCCTTTACAACCTGGATTATTCGATGTTATCTGAGCTATGTGTAGGACAAACTGTGGTATGTAAGTATAATGTATCACGTCTGCTTGCTGCTACAGTCTTGGTAAGTTTGCAATCAAGAAGTATTTTCATTGTCATAATAATTATAGTTAAGATTGAGATTAATAATCCTGAAATCATTTCTGCTGCTGTGTACTGATTATCCTACCTCATATTGCCTTTCTACTATTTGCTGCTATTAGTGGGTATCTTTAGTGTTTGGTACATATATACACATAAACTCATTTCCTGGTAATAACTGTAACAGCTTTAATACATACATATTTGCCATACCAATTAGAGTGTTCCTGGTAGTAGTGATCTGTGTTCTTCTGCAATAAACAGGAATCCTTAGTAAACAACCACTGTATGTCCTTGTGTACCACAGGATCCTTCAAACTCACCGTTGCAATCTCTATCTGCTTACTGGCCAGGTAGTCCCCAAAGCTCTCCTTTCATGGGTTGTGACAGTATTTGTCTTTCCTATATAAATGCAGCCATCACCTTCAAACTATCTTCAAATCATACTATGAACATATGTAAGAATTTGCAATAATTAATTGCACAGACATGAATTCCATGACTTCAAGTTAGGGAAGGAAAAAAAAAAAAGCCATATTAACTTCCTGAATTAACTGATCTTTCCCACATCTTCAGAATTGCTTTGGAAAAAAGGCTTTTCATTGCAATTGGCAAGAGAAGCAAAAATTAACCAGCAAACAAAAGTTACTGTACCAATGAATATCTGCATGAAAAGAAATGCACATTTTCAATCCGTTATCAAAGAGGATACCCTTCCTGTTAAAAGGCTATCAAAACCAAAATTCAGCTTGACTGACATTGCCAGAGTTGGAGAGTTCAGCTCATTTTCTTCTTATGTTGAATACACGTTAGAAAAGGACTGTAGCATTTCCTGGTACTGACGTGAGTGATAAATACACAGCACTTCAGAACTGCTTTGCTTTATTATTTTTATAATTATTTTTAGAAGAAGCCATGCAAAGTCCGTATTTTTAGCCTGCCTTTTTTTTTTTTTGAAGGCGAAATACCTACCATAGAATCATAGAATTGCTCAGGATGGAAAAGACCTTCTTGATCATCAAGTCCAACCACAACCTAAACATACTACCCTAACTACCTAACTACCCTACTACCATAACCTAACTGCCCTAACTCTAGCAACCCTCCATTAAACCATGTCCCTGAACATCACATCCAAATGGTTTTTAAACACATCCAGGGATGGTGACTCAGCTACTTCCCTGGGGACCCCCATTCCAGTGCTTAACCACCATTTCCGTAAAGAGGTTTTTCCTGATATCCAATCTAAACTTACCCTGGCACAACTTGAGGCCATTTCCCCTCGTTCTGTCACTGTCACCAGTGAGAAGAGACCAATCCTGCTCTTCCTGCAATCACCTTTGAGGTATTGGAAGAGAGCAATAAGGTCTCCCCTCAGCTTCCTTTTCCTCAGACTAACCAGCCCCAGTTCCTTCAGTCTCTCCTCATAGGCCATATTCTCCAAGCCCTTCACAAGCCTTGTTGCCCTTCTTTAGACCTGCTCCAGCACCTCAATGTCCTTTCTGTACTGAGGGACCCAAAACTGGACACAGTACTCCAGGAGAGGCCTCACCAATGCCAAGTTCAGGGGCAGGATGACTTCCCTCGTCCTGCTCACCACACCATTCCTGATACAAGCCAGGATGCCACTGGATAAAGGCTGGATTTCATCTCACTTATGAACAAGAGAAGAAATGGGGAGGACAGAACTGTTTGAGAATAACCTTACTAAAACATTCTCATCTCACTTAGATTCAGTTTATTAGATTTTCACTCATTCATATGACACAAGGAAACAAGTTCACATCAAACGCCATTTGTATTGTCATCTCAAACACAACTTCCAAAGATTCTAGTTACCTGTAACAGCACAAGTGACAGAACCTGAAACTCATGTAAAATGTGAATGAACTTTATCAGAAAGAAAGCTGATGTTCAAATGTCCTTTTTTCCTAAGAAGCTCTTTACAGCTTTGTTAACACCACTTCGGCTTAAGGAAGAAATGCACAATTCGAGAGTGGTGTTACTTTTACGTAACTAAGTGATCCGGTGAAATACTTCTGCATGGCACTGGCAGATGTGGCACAACAGTGTGAAAGTACAGTATCTTGAAGTAACACAAACATTGTTTACATTCAGTAATCCAGTTCTCTGCAAGAAAAAAAAGTCATGTTCTTAACATCAGTATTGCATATAATTAAAGAAATCTGTAATATTTGTTTTTATTCATTATAGAACGGCTTTAGAAGTTACTCACATCACACAACGAATACCTACGGCATGAACTTTCTTTAGGTTAAAGCCAAAATAGTCGCAAAGCACAAAACAAGGTTTGTTTATGTATAAAGGTAATGACATTTTCTTTCCTAAAGCATTTTTAAAAATACTTTTTATTTAAATGGAACAGATGCAGAAAATAATCAACTAAGAAAATAAGCTTCTAAATCCAAGCCCATAGATGCTAACAGTGTCTATAATCACTTACTTTTTTTTTTTAGTAATTTCAAGGGATCAGTCACTTGGATGACTTTCTTTGAGGTCTTAGTATATCCTTTTCCATTTCTTTCCTGATTTGGTATTGTTTGTATCTTTCTGCCATTGAAATAAGTTCATCGGGAACTACCTGATAAGAAAGCAGCACAAAGCCATGCTTAGTTTTAAGTAATTCTAAAAACTTTTGGGCTTGGTTTTTACAAAATTGCAACTTATTTGTCTGCTCCCAAACTTTAGATTTGCTTTTGTGTGGAGATGGAAGAGAAAAAAAAATGTGGTGGTTTTTTTTTTTTTTTTTTTTTACATGAGAGTATACTGAAAAGTAATCAGCACAATGTGCCTGGATGTTCAGCTTACCTATGTACGCCAGCATCACCATCTCTGATGGCAACATGTAACTTATTAAAACACTGTATTTAATCTAAAAATGCATCTTTCAATGATAATGAACAAATACAGACTGCTTACACAACCTGCTATAACAAGTAGCCATACAGCAGGTGAAAGGTGTCCAGGCACTAATCAGTGTCCTGATCATAGAGCAAGCTTCTCCAGCATATATGAGCGTGGTATTTGATTGACTGCTTACTGCCTCTGGTTTGTCACAAGCAAGCAGCACTGATTCAGTACAAGTTTGGAAGACTGCTCTGAAATTGAACATTTAGATACACCTAAGTCAACTTAGATATCCTTGAAGCAAGCAATGCTTGAAGCAGGCAAGGGATGCAGCCGCAACAAAAAGCCTGGTGTATGAGGTAAGTAATGCTGCAACTTTATCTGTGAAAGTAAGGATTCAGAGATGGTCTCAACTTCCCTGAACTCCAAGACCTGCTCCTAGTTATAATATCCTATTAAAAACAAACAAACAAACAAACAACTGGGTTCACCCTGTTGGTTTTTTCTCCCCAGGAGATAAACAAAACCAATCAGAAAGCCATGCAGTGTTAAGGACTTATTAGATGACAGACCAGGATTAAAGCTTTGGTTGTTTCTGCAGATGTTCACACAACTCTCCTGGTCCTGCATAAATACAATTAAATTCATATTCATCATATCCCCCTCCTCTCCACATTCCCAACTTGAGTCAGACCCTGAACTCTGGTTCAAGTAAATGACTAAGTGGGTTTACACCATTGGTAACAATTAAGATTTTTTTCTTACTTGGTTTGCTCTTTGCAGAATATCAATCAGCTCAGATGCAGCTTTCCAGTCTTTCTTAGTGACAAGTGTTACTGCCTTCCCAGTACGTCTAGGAAAGAAATGCAATAAATGTTGATCTTCATAATAATGGGTATCTGTGCTGCTAGGTTTTCCCCACTGACTTCAACAGCAATAGATTTGACTACAGGCAGTTTATGGGCTTTCAGATATCTGGCTAGAGCATTTACTTGGCACGTGACAAAACAACTGTTTGTAAAGGTCAGTGTAGCAACTTGGCTAAACTGGAGCAAAGCAGAACTAATTTAGGTATATAGACAAATGTAGCACAAAGACAACATATTTAAGAATGAAGAGATGTGTTAATATCACAATTAAAAGAAGCACACACACACAACATATTTACAAAGAGAATTATCACATTTGTGTTACTCTGGGGATGCAGCACTAGAACTCCTAATGTCAAACTACACCACCATGACAGCCTGCAGACTCCCAAGGGTTCCTTTCAAGCCCCTCCCATTTCTTTTCTCCAGTGGGCTTACCTGGAAACTAAACAGCAGCTCATGAAAACACAAACAAGGAAGAGGATTACAGAATACCTGTACAAAAGTGTTCTGAACCTGTTCAGTCTCCCCCACACTTAAACCAGCTTTCAAACATTCTTAATTCCCAATGCTTAAATGAAACAGAAAACCAGAGACCTTGTTTGCCTTAAAAATTTTACTGGATTTCAAAACATGAAAGCATACTTTGGCACATCTTGAAGCCTCACTCTCCCATTCTCTATCACTTGTAGCTCTAGAATTTGACAACAGAAACACCTATAAAATGCACAAAATACTGATGTTAGTCAATAACATATTACTATTTTATTGTGAAAACTTACCCTGCTCTTCCAGTACGACCTACTCTGTGAACATATTCCTCAATGTTGCGAGGGAAGTCAAAGTTAAAAACATGAGTAATATCATGCACATCAAGGCCACGGGATGCTAAGTCAGTAGCTACCAGGATTCTGACTTTACCTAAACAAAGAACCACCAAAACAGAATGTGATTTTATAAAATATACAGAAAACACACCCTACTCCACTGATTTCCCAGTGCATAATACACCTATTCAACACATAAAGGAAACACACACTTTCTGCACTGTCTTGTTTCCACTATTAAGTGGTACATAAGCACCCAAAGTGTCATTTGGCTATTCCACAAGATGTAAGAAAGATGCAGGAAAAATCAAGAAGTGTGTCCAGCAGATTAAAAAAAAAAAAAAAAAAAATCCCTGAGGAAAAAAAAAAAAAAAGCTCAGAAGCTTCAGGAACTATTTTTTCACCCTGCATCCTTACCATGCCACTATTCTTAGTTCTATTATCAAGTGACCAAATAATCTTCAAGTATAATCCTACTGGCATCACCAAGAGAACTGTTTCATTGAAACCATCATTGTTTGATGCTTCGATTCACAGTTCTTTAGATGAACATAAGATAGAATTCCCCCCCATACATTTCAAAAGTAAAATAAGACTTTAAAAAATTTAACTCTTAGTCACCCATTTTTATTTTTTTTCTTTAAGAGCAATCATTTTTTGCTTGCTGTTTCTTTTGTGTATGTTTGTCAGATTAACAGGGTAAACACAATCATGAAGAGCTCTGATCTTTTCATTCCTATGGTAACAAAGACACAACACTACAGAAAAGATTCTGCATATGATAAGCCTTAAAAGCACTGGTTTGTTTAGCCCAAGTTTAGGTCCAAACCTACCTTTCTTGAAGTCATCTAAAGCCTGTTCTCGATCACACTGCTCTCTGTCACCATGAAGAGACTGCACTGGGACTCCTTTGACACCGAGGTCACTTGCTACGTCATCAGCTCTAACATGAAATAAAACAATGGTTCAGCAGAAAGACAACAGAACAGAAAGATAATGTGCCAGCAATACGTAAATGTGTAAGACAGCACACAAGACCCTATAGATCAGGTGATACTTTTTATAAAACAACATGGAAACAAGCACAGAACGTTCTTATTTCTTCACGTACTTTTATTTCAAGCCCTTCTCTGTCCTATCAGAAAAGGCCTTTAATGGAAACAGTGCACCTGGAAAGCAAAGACAGGCACCTATGTGTTAAGGAAGTCCCAACCATGAGCTCACAGTTACTCTGTTAAGGCAGGGAAGATGTCACCAGATCACTCAGTCTTCTCTCCTAAAGGATTTGCCTTAAACTAAATGCTTTCTTACAAAATTTATTCCTTTTTCAGCATTAACATATCTCAGGACTGTACTGTAGACTTCACAAAAGAAGACAGTTCACCATTATTATTCTAGACAAAAGTCTGAAGCCCTTCTAGATTTCTGTCAAAGCATATCCATGTATTAAACGGCCAAAGCAACAAAATTCATCAGCTGGAAGCAGGAGCAGCTTCCCATGCTGACTGTTCAAGAGAACTTCTAGGTATTAACTTAGACCTATTCAGAGGAAAACTCCCAAAAGCCCACAAATGTAGCCTGGAACTTCCAAGATACACTGAAGGACACACAAACCAACCACTGATGGTTAGGAGAGAAAGAACATTGTGTCTAGCAAAATTAGTTCCAGCTCTTCAATAAACCAGAGGGTGTGAACCTGAACTAACCTGAACTTTTTTTCCCCTCTTCCTTGTATGAAGGAGGGAAAAAGAAAGGGACTTACGGTAGCAATACATTCCTGCCACCAGGTCTCATACACATCAGCTTCACATGCCAGTGAAAAGCAAAAACTGCCCAGAGAGGCTGTAGATGCCCCATCCCTGAAGGTGTTCAAGGCCAGATTGGATGGGGCATCCTGGTCTGGTATTAAATGTGGAAGTTGGTGTCCCTGCATGTGGCAGGGGCGTTGGAGATTATGATCTTTGAGGTCCCTTCCAACCTGGGCCATTCTGTGTGGTTCTGTGAAGTGATATTAAGGTGTCCTTAACAATGTTACCATGTATTCCAAATATGTTAGATAGAGACTTCTCACCACCACTATCAGTATCAAAAAAAATGTGACTCCTAGTCAAATTATCCGCAGGAAAGATAGCAAGAATTACCAGCACACTATTGACAAGAGCTGTTATATTTGTTAATTACTATTTGAACTAAGATCCCTCTGGTTAAAAAACAAACAAACAAAAAAAAACCCCACAAATATAATACTAGGAATTAATTACATACGTAGACTTCTTTCCAACAAAAATGATGGCCTTATCTTTTGGCTTCATAGAATCAATGAAGTTTTCCATGAAAGCTTTTTTTTCTTCTTCGTTGATAACAATAACTTCCTGTTCTACTGTATTTACTGCCTGTTAAACATTAAAAAGGATACTTAGAAACAGATTTGAATAATATTTTTATTTATCCACACATAATATTACAAAACTAGTAACATAACAGCACAAAAACTATTTTACAACTAGATTTCAGTTAGGATTTCAAATGATGCAGATTTCTGGTTTTCCAGTTGCTTTGGGAGAGTAACTAATTTTATCTTTAAGTAGTTTACTCAATCACATATTTATAGTGAATTCTTATCACTGGTTTAGAACAGAGTACAGTAGTTCAATTAAAATAAAAATAACTGGAGTATCTTACGCCTATTCAGAGAAACTTGGAACAATTGCAGTCTTATTTGAAAGGAGAAGCTTTTAAAGAAAGTTGTGCCAGCTATTCGCAATGATTAGTTCTGTCCAATTCTTTAAACACCAGCTTTTATTAGAAAAAGCTTCACTTCATTATATTTGAAGGTTATCACAGAATGGCTGAGTATATTAACTGCAAGGGAACAGCAGGAAGCTGCACCAAGGGAAGTCAAGATTGGATATTAGGAAGTGGATCTTCATCAGAGGGCAGTCAGGCACTGGGACAGGCTCCCCAGGGTAGTCATCACAACCTCATTCAGGCAGTGTTTGGACACTGCTCTCAGACACTAATTTTGAATTTTGGGTGGCGCTCTCTGGAGCCAGGAGTTGGACTCAGTGATCTCGTCCAACTTGGAATATTCTGTGACTCTATTTAAGTGGTACAAAGGCCTTGGCTTTCTTGTGGCTCTACATCATAATCTTATGGCAAGAGCTGCAAAATTTACCAGGTACGTAGAACAGGTCTCTTTTCACATGGAAACCCTTCCCCCTTTCAGAAGGCACCTCTTCAATTGAATGATGCTCCATAAGAAACGAAAACACTGGACAAGAGAGCTGCAATAGCTGTTATGTCAAATTGCAATCTTGTTGATGGGTTTGCCTTTGACAAAAACACAGTTGCCAGCATAACAGAGGAAAAATACATTTTCCCTTATTTCCACCTGAAAGCGTACCACACATTTATTCATTCCCTAGGACTAAGAAAGGGAAACTTAAAAAGAAAACTCTGCAATTTAAGCCAAACCTACAGCAATCTCTACATCAGGATGTAAGAGATCTTGGAACCACTAACATTTCTGTAAATTCTGTCACTGCTTAAGCAAACTACACATATCTGCACAAACACAACAACTACATCTGTACATTAAAAGCTTCGGACTTCAAAAGACAGCTCCTGCAGTACCACATATTCCTGACCTAGACAAGTGACCTCCGGAAGTTTAGTGTGGAGCTTCCATTCTCTGTGGGAAATATGCAGGTAAAAGACAGATCCAGATAAGGATCTGTATATAAGACAAAGAAGTCCTTCAGAGGCAAAAGGAACAAGAGCTTGCTCAACAAAACCAAAGGCTGGAGAAACAAGGCTTCAGGCAAGACAGGAGGCGCTGCGAAGTACAATTTTCAAATACAAGTATTTGACTCACACTTGATGCTTGTAACATCTTCTATTGGAGATCTAGGACTCCAAGATCTCATTACAGAAACATCAGCCCTTTTTATTTTCATTTTTAAAAGTTCTTTCTAAACTTCTGCTGAAGCTTTACATAGGATAACATGGAATTTTTTGAAAGTCCAGATTGATTTTAAAGTCATCTGCATTTACTTGCACATGCTTCCAAGTAAAAGTTTCCTTGTCAAACTGCAGATACTTCAAAACAACAACAATGTATAGAATCATAGAATGGCCTGGGTTGAAAAGAACCACAATGATCATGTAGTTTCAACCCCCCTGTTATGTGCAGGGTCACCAACCACCAGACCAGGCTGCCCAGAGCCACATCCAGCCTGGCCTTGAGTGCCTCCAGGGATGGGGCATCCACAGCCTCCTTGGGCAGCCTGTTCCAGTGCGTCACCACCCTCTGTGTGAAAAACTGCCTTCTAATATCTAACCTAAACCTCCTCTGTCTCAGTTTGAGCCCATTCCCCCTTGCCCTATCAACAACAAAAGAACTTACTGCTAAGTCAAGAGTGCCAACATACACGATCATGGGATTTCTCAAATAGGATTTTGCGAGGCGACGAACACCATCAGGCCAAGTAGCACTAAATGGGAAGAGAAGACTGATAAGAACACAGCACAAGATCTTCCCCAGTTTGTTAATCTCTTCACACTACTTGTTTCTTCTACCTTACATGCCAGAGAAAACCTTGAGTACAGAGCAACAGAAGTGAGCTCTTCCAGCATTTCGAAATCATTTGAAGAAGTTTATTAATGTAAACAGAACTCCTGCTTGCCAGGCAACATTCCAGATTGAAGTCAGGAGTAACAGTTCTGCAGCCTTTCCAATGAAAACAATACATTGTTTAGTAGCTCAAAAAGTTTTAATTCAAAAGCTTCTAAGACTGTTCTCTGAAACAGTAGCTCTGATTCAAAACATTCTTCACAGCATTCCCAGGTCACCTTCCTTTTTTGGAAAAAATACCATCATTTCTATAGTTGATGGAAAATAGCACAAAAGGGGGAAAAAAATGCAAACTGTCAAAAGATTCACCAGCACCAACTAGACACAGATAGATAAAATAAACCTGAAGCAATTCCCTTGTAGGCTACCAAAAGTTGTTAGTAAAATAGTATGTGTTTCATTGTTCACTTGTCTAATAACCTTAAGCATAGAGCACTACTCCATTTACATACCTTGTCATAACAGTTTGTCTGTCTGGCCGCACATCTATTAAGATCTTCATTATCTGAGGTTCAAATCCCATATCCAGCATTTTGTCAGCCTCATCTAAAACCTGCTTAGAACAAGGAGTTTGCATCTATTCTTCGGGTAAGGGTTTCAGCAAGACATTTCATAGCAGATCACTTTAATGGTAACAGTCTTTATTTCAGAAACCATTTCCTAATTTATCACAAAACCTGTTCAGTTTGTTATACCCCTCCAATTTCTTTTGGGCTTTTTCACTTAGTACATTTGCAGACAGAACAAGAGAAAAATCCATAAAATCTCTGAGAACACGAAGTCAATAAAGGAGCATACTTAAAGCTTTTGTTGGTTTGTTTTCTAAAACACTCATACAACATAATGGGGGACCTTACGCAATATCCTTTCAATGGAAGGTTATTAGAAATGTACCAACTCAAACCCTTATATGAACTAGGAAAAAAGACAGACTGTACCTTTTGGCTCACACTTGGATATCAACATTCTCCAAGCTCAAACTTATTTCACTGGGGGAGAGAGGAAGGGAGCTTAAAGCTTTTAGTACAGCTACTGGGAACAGAACCCTCATCCTCAGTTGAGAACATCTTAGACTTCTTGTTATCAATACAAGCTTACTTGTTTGCTAATACCATTTCAGTTATTTTTCTTCGCAAGTAATTCTTGCAGGCCACTTCACAAACACAGAATATTTTTTTAAATTAGATCAGTTATGGGTAAGTTTTCTGTTTTTGTATATATTTTACAGTAATTAAAAAATGAAAATATTGCTCCCATGTACCTTTTATATCCTAGTTTATAGACTACCTATTTTTTTCTACTATATTCTCTCCTCAATCACTGTCCCAATTATTTATACAAAGTTCCAATGTTCTTACAATAGAAAAAACCCACTCAAATCACTGACAAATGAATACTAATTTATCCTGAACACAGCAAGACAGAATGCCATCTTGAAATGACATACAATGTCATTTCAAGTAAACAATCACTGTAAACAATCAAAAGGATGTATATAACCAATTTCCCAGTGCTTCCTCAGAAATTATGGGAAAACATCAGCCTACCTGACTGGATTTCTAAAAAATTGACTCAAGACTGCAACTAATTCGATGTCTCTGTCAGAGCAGACAAATTCCCTGATGCTTCCAGCTCACCTTGTGTATAACATATATTCAAATATAATTAATCATCTCTAAAAATGGGTACTTGTGGGTTGGTTTTTAGATAACAAAAAAACCAACAAATACCCCCACCAAAACAGAGAAGACATAACAGTAGCTATAAGACACTGTCTTGAGTGGATTTTCTCCCTTGGAAATCCTATGCGAAACATCTGCATAATAACAGCACTGCACTTGGGGAGAATTCACAAGCCTTATCAGTATCTTTAAATGCAAATCATAAATAAAGCTCTTTAATGAAGAGTGTTCTATGTCCATGATGTCAATTGTAAAAATAAATACCCCTCTTTTATCTCTAAAATAAGGCTGCTGTGTCTCACGGTGCTACACCACCACTGGTTCTGCCAGGGAGCTCACCAACATTAGCAAGAATTGGAGCTCGTTTGTAAAGCACGGTAAGTATTCAGCACTTGGGAACTGAGGGGCAGATAAAGGAGGAAAAGCAGGCCAAACTGTCAGACTAGGCAACAAGGCAACAATTAAGCAAACACACAAATAACGTAAATGTACGGAAATCTTTTACAAAATAGTAATTGAATTAAATGTCCAGCACAGCCAAAAGCAAGAAGGAAGTGAAAGCACATGAACCCGTGGATGGTATTGGTATGGCTATTTTGCCACTGATGTGAAAAGAAGTCATTCACCCAAACTGACAAATACCTAACTGGTTTATCTACTAAGAATTGAGTCACTAGCAACTTTCAAAAGAGGAAAAGCCAACTCAGGAAAGGCATTTCATCTACTAGTAACTGATCTTCACAAAATAGACTTGGAAACCACAAAGATTACTAGTGTGGGATAATAATTCATCATCTTTGAAATGCTTACTGTTCTAGAAGCCTTATTTTTTTTTTTTTTTCCCCCTCCAGGGAATATCCTTTATCTTCAACACGGTCACAGTAAGCACAAACCACTCCCCCAGCACCAATCTCGATGTTTCAGTTGAGATTCAGAATGTTTAAAGAAAAGCAAATTGAACCTTGAGTTCAGACTAAGCCACCATTTCCCAGCTGATGCACTACTTCCCCATATCAGCTACTTGCCAAGTACGTTATGCTCTTCAAGTTTATGAAGTTGTTCATTTGAAGATCATTCAGTCTCCCAGGAGTAGCAATAACAATATCCACACCTTTGGTCACCACATTTATCTGCGCTTTCCGGTCCCCACCACCATATATGCAGATACTGAAAAATAAGATGATTAACAGAAGAAGAAGGTTAAGGTTCAACTGAAGTTTATCTTTCTCAAAGCAGTATCACAAAGTTGCTTCATTTTAAGATGTATAATCATGAAATATGAAAAGGAAGGAAGACAACAGTTAGGACTGACAGAATGGGCTTCACAAGAATGAACCCCCCCCTCCCCCCTCAAAAGGGCAGCAACAGTTTTATGCCGAAATTGCAGAAGTAATAAAAGGAAGGACAGTTGGCTATTAAGCTACATCTGATCTGAAGACATTCACACCAAAATAAATGAATGTTAAGAATGCATCATTTTCTAAGCAGTACCTTCATAGGCCACATGTTTTACTGTTAAATCAATCAGCACATCCAGTAAGATGTTAGGCTAATACATGGCCTTTAAGAATTCTACAAAATATGTTTGAGAAGGAAGCAGCATGCATGACTCTGCATTTGGTAAGGCTGCTATGCAAAGCTACCAGAGAATCCTAGAAGTAGATTTCAGAATATAGCAATGTCTATTTAATAGCTTAAATAAACACCTGCACTCTTAGCAAAGTTGTGGATGACACCAAATTAAGGAAGCACTTAATACACTAGAGGGCAGGGCAGTTATTTAAGGACCACAAAAGGCAGAAGTGGGCTGAAGCATGCAGTTTAACAAAAGCAAAGATGGGGATGGAATAACCCCCTGGCTCATGGCCCACATGCTGGAAGATAGCTTTGCAGAAAAGACTTGAGTGGGCAAGAAACCATGTTATTCAGCAGTGTAATCTCCGAGTAGAGAAAACCAGCTGTGTATTACAGAGAACACAGCCAGGAGCTTTTTAAGAGAATTCACTATGCTTCTTTATTTGGTACTTGCAGGATCACACCTGAAGCATCACCATTTCCACTTTTTGTATCCCCACCTCAGTTACCAGACCTGTACAGACTGACACAAGTCCAGCCAGCAGCTACCAGAATGGTCAAGAGGCTGGAGTGCATGACATGAGAAGCTGGGAATTCAAAGTAACTGTTCAATTTGAGGGTGGCAAGGTTTGGGGAGATCTTAGTGTTGTATAACCTAAAAGCTTGCCAAAGAGAAGACAGGGACACTACTCAGCTGTCCATATGAGAAGGATGCGAGGCAACGCTTTTGCAGTGCAGAAGACACAACCATGCAGGTAATATTTTCACCATGAGGGCAGTCAAGCACACATCATAAAAACTGAGGAAGTATGAAACTTTTTAGCACCCCCATCTCCTTAACGAATGCAATTTCAGGAGATGAATTAGGTCACAAATGGTAGAAAATGCAACTTAAACAGGTGAGAAGGGAGATCACCTTTTAAATCCTTTGTACGTGTACTTCAAGCACTCCGCCTCTACTTGCAGTGCCAGTTCTCGGGTGGGAGCAAGGACCAACATCCCTGGCCCTCCACGCTCATCTCTGGGTCTGCAATAAAACATCTTAAGAATGGGAGCATAAGAGGCTACACAACATCTGTCACATCTGACAATAGAACATTTCTATGCTCCTCTAGACTTCCACAATACACTGCTACATCCTCTTATTACAGCATAAAGGAATTTATGTTACAAGATTCACACATCTTCCACCAGATTTATTATGATCATTATCATTATTTTTTCCCCCACTAGAAAATCATTATTTCAGAAGAGGAAGTATCCACATCTAAACAGCTCAAATATGTGAACAGTCCTTACATTGGTTGTGAAGCCAAATGAATGAATCCAGGCATTAAGTAAGCTAATGTCTTCCCGGTACCAGTCTGTGCTATGCCAATAAGATCAATTCCTTGTAGTATGATTGGCCATGCCTGGGACTAACATAAAACAACGAATACTTAGATGTGTTTTAATCCTAAGTTTCAGTTAAAGAGTCATCAAAATGGAAGAAGTACCTGAATTGGTGTAGGTTTCTGAAAACCAATTTTCCTTATGTTAGCCATAATATCAGGATATTGCTCAAATACATCTTCAAATTTACAAACAGGATTGGGAATGCAGCGCTTTTCACCTTCTTTTAAGTCATCACAGATTATATTGTTATTTTCTTTCCTGTAGAGAATTAAAGTATTGCATTAGCTCTAAAATCTATCAGAAGAAGCAAAGCAAACACAAGAGACTGCACCTTTTTGACATGCTTTTTTCCTGAAATTCAATAACTAATAAAAGAAAAAAATCAGTTTCTCTAACGAAATTTCTAACTGTTCCCTTAACTTTCAAATAACCCTCATTGGAGAAATGCTTCCGTAGGACTCACGATTAGTCAATGAATTATTCTCATAAGTTAAATCTTTCTTAAGAACGAAGGACTGGAAATCATGCATGGATATTAAGGACTGCACTGCTGTCATATCAGACTTCAATCACACTCTATTAGAAGTTAAAGAGCTGCTATAAGTGACTCTTAGGAATGGACTGAACTTCTTTGTTAGAACCCTATATTTCGGGTAAAACCTTCCCCAAATACTTCTGGAGCAGCTTCCTTGATGTTCTAGAAAACAAAGATGAAACATGTTAGAAAAAAGGTGCTAAAAAAAAAAAAAAAAAAAAAAAAAAAAAAATCACAAAAGCGATATGAAAATTGAGTTTTGAGGTGTTAATACAGATAAGTATTTGATCTTTATCCCTGTCCTCTTCTGTCCAGAAGACTCAATTCTGCAAATAGTTTTACTTCAAGCTGTGGGTAGGCTAGGAAAAGAATGAGTAATTCAACTTCTCATGTTCATAGAAATACATTTTTTCAGGATCTTTTACTCTCCCCCTAAAACTAAGGCATAAAGTGAAAAACATTCCTCTGTTTATAAGAGAAGTGCTACTATTGCTCAGTGCAAGTTCTGAACCCACAAAACAATGTTCTGCTGCTCTTGAATAGCTAGAACAATAACATTGCTAAGGAAACTCACTGTGAAAAGGTAAAGGTAAAAGAGGAAAAAAAACAAAACAACACCAAACCATGCAATAAGTAATGAAAGCTGTTTAATTCCAAATAAAGAGCCCCTAAGAAGAGCCAGGCTACCACTAGACAGTAAGATTAATAGCTGTCTCAGTATTTCATCACCCACCACACAGGTTTTGTTATGCTAACAGTCTTTTCTGCCAAGCACACAATTCCCTACAGAAATGATCTTACCGCCACAGTTTTACTTCTTCTGGTGACATGGATGCAGTCCTTGATGATTCTTTATAGAAGTTTTTCTCAATTGGAGGCAGGTCTTAAACAATCACAAGAAAGCAAGTCAGGAAGAAATGCTGGACATTCAAAGTCTTTTATAACTTAAGGTGGAAATCTCAAATCCAAGTAATCTATGCCCAGTACTAGAGAGCTAGTCAAAACACAGTGGTAGGCCACAGCAGTTTGAGCAAAAGCTGAAAACTATGAGAAACACTTAAAACACCTGCAAAAGAACCATTCCCTGCCTTCCAAGCACTAAAATAATATCTGCTGATGTATCCAGTACAATATTTTAATAACATTCAGATTTTTGCTGCAGTCACTACAGTGCTACAAAACCATTGCATTTTCAAAGGCTGAAGTAAAAAACCATTAATCTAGTAATTGCAGACTCATCACAGTGACTAGTGTGACTAGTATCCTCCATGACCATTCTAAGAAATGCTGACATGCCCACTTCATGAATACCCTTAACTAATTTGGACGCTGAAAGATTCAGTAGCCTCAAACCAAAAATTAAGAATGTTGACACATGCAAGAGATCTATAATGTGAAAGAATACCATACAAGCAACATTTTAGAACTAACCTGCCCACTTCATAGCCTCATATTTAGCTCTGTTTTCTCGAAGAGAGGCCCAGTCAATCACGGGTTTCTTTGGAGTATTCTCAGGATTGATAACATCCAAGGATTTTCCTGTGGAGTCAGTATCAAAGTTGCTGTCTGAGAGATCTATTGGAAACGTAGAACCTCTCTCCCCCCAAACACAAACCTTATTTTCTTTTTGTACTGCAAACCTCTTATGTGATTTTAAGTAGACATGAAACACTTAAAAGAGAGTTCTTTCTTAGGTCTCAGTCTGAAACATTAGCAGAAAAACCAGTGCGAACACAATTCTGGTAAGAAAGGAAGCATTTAAACATCTTTAACTAGAGGAAGGACAGGATCCAGAACGCTGCTCCTCCAGTTGTACACATGGCTTGCTGAGCATGGGGCTTTTGGGAAAGTTTTGAGTCAGGCAGGTGATAGCAAACAAAGTTTAATTTCAACAGCTACAAGAGCAAGATTTACTTCTAAAGCATCCAGTGTCACCAAAATAAAGTTCCTGTGAAGTTACGCCCTTTTTGATGAGGTTAATGCTTCTCATGAAAGTGAGTTTTTACACTGGAAATATAAATGACAACACATTTGTTATTGAAAAGAATGAAATACAAGGGAAAACGACAGTTACACACATGTAGGATACATTACTTAATCCTGGCTTCTTGAATAAAACATTCCAGAGTACCTTCTGAGGCACTTCTGAAAGCCTGCACTCACAGCTACTCCGTTCCTTATTCTAAATCTGGAACACTATTCTTAATTTTTTTTTCCTCATCAGTGCCTCAGAGCAACAACTATGGATGTGGTTCTTCTCCCTCAGGACTTACTGTGCAGTTAAACAAGCCAAACATCAAATACCAGCATCTTCATGTACAATCATTACTTACATAGCCACATAATGCACTGAAGCCCAGTAAAATGAAGCATGATGTGCAACACCAAACCATCAATGTTAATGCCCTGTGAAAAGGATCCACCCTTACCGTGATTGGTACGTTAGTTTTATAGCCTACATCTGTACAAACCTAATTTCATTATTGCCAAGATACTACATTAACTACATTAAAACCTATCCTAGAAGTGATATTTGGATTTTTAAATGATAGGACTGATAATGCAAAAAAGCAAACAGTATAACATCTATTAAAATTGTTGGAAACACCTGGGAAGAGATATTCACAGAAGTCTGCTATCTGAAGGAGGAAAGCCATTGCCAGCTGACAGGGGAGGATGTCTAGATAGTTCTGCTTTAAAATCAAGGTCAGTCATTTCACTCTGATAAAACACTAAGAACATAAAACCACTTCAAACTACCAACAGAGATTAAGATGACCTACAGTCTTTTTTCCCCCTCCCATAATACACTTCTTAAATTTCTCAGACCCACCTCTACAGTCACTTTGTCCACAGCTTACAACTGTTTCATCAATCAGCACCTTGGCTTTGTTCTGCACAGCAACACTGCCGAAAATCTTCACTTCTGCTTCAGAGGCTCCCTTAATAACCTGCATTCATAAAACTCCACTGAGTTTTTAATACTACACAGACCAGGTGAACTTTTATATAAATATAAGTATGCACTGCAAACAATCTTTAGTTTTTCCTCCAAATTTGAATTTCTCCCCTCGGGAAAGGCCCTTTAATCCCCTTCTTAAAAGAAATATGGAAAACCAGAAAAAAAACAACCTCACAGACAAAAACCAGTAAGCTCCACCTGCAAGGCCAGGCTGGATGGGGCTCTGAGCAACTCTGAGCAACAAAGCAGGTCTGAGGGAGGCGTCCCTGCTTTTAGCAGGGATTGGAGCTACATGATCTTGAAGGTCCCTTGCAATCCAAACCATTCCATGACTCTATGACTCAAGTGATACCCCGTTCCTGAAAGACACACAGTACCTGTATCCTAGAACCCGAAGATTCCTCAAGTTCTCTTATTTTAGCTCCTCCCCGACCTGTTACAAGGAGAAATTTCTGTAACACCTACAGCAAAAGCCACACTCTCACAAACTAAATGCTAACAGGGGGCACGGCTGCCGTTACCTATCAAAACCCCGGCCAGGGCCCTGCTGATGAGGAAGCAGAGAGGCTCCCCAGCCTCCTGAGCTCTGCCTGCGGCGGCTCTCGGGCGCTGCCATCGCACTGCCTGACTTCGGCGGCTGCCAACCACGCCGGATTCCCGTTCCTCTCCTCCGACGCTCGCTGCCGCCTCCTGCCGCCACTCCGAGCCCCTTCGCCCCAGCTCGCCCTCTGTCGGCGAGCTGTTCGGCCGAGGGGTGGCCGGCGGCTGCCACAGGGGCGCGGTGGCAACCGCTGAAGACGGCGGCGCCCCTGCGGCCTCGTCGCTGCTCTCCTCCCAGTCGGACATCCCCGCTTACTCGACGCGCGTTGCGTGCTAGGCCGCCCTATAGGCTGTGAGCGCACGGATTGGCCAGCGCCAGTGGCTCTCCGATCAGCGATTGGCTGGCTTCTGGGACGGCGCGCGGGTAGGGGAGCCTACGGCCGCTCCTGCCCGGGCTGAGTCCCCGCCCTCGCAGCGCTCGGGCGCTGTGTCTGCGCGACCTTTGGGGGCGACCTTCGTGGTTTAGAGGGTCCTTGGGTGAGCCGAGCAGGTACGGCTCGAGGTCCTGTGGGACTGGCAAGTGTGTAGGGCCATGCTGCTGGCGGAATCTGGCCTCCTGTGGAGCCTCTTCTGGACAACCTGTGCCAGTGTTTGGTCACTGTCACGGTAAAATAAAAATAAAAATTCAACACCAAACCTTAAAAACGTAGAAAACTCAGCATTCGTGTTCACTGCAGAAAGAGCCAGGCAAGGAAGGCCACGCTGCAGCACCCACCTGACACAGTGCATCCCCAATGGCCTCGTGCAGCAGGCAGGGCAGCTGCTGCGGGCTCCTCACACACTGCCTGCTTCACAGCCCAGCTAATCCTGAACTGCTGCCTCCAAAACTTCAGTAAGTTCTGCTGCAAATGGGTACCAGAATCTGGGTGTATCAGGCTGTTAGGTCCATATTTTACATCAGCAAACTTCCTTTGTGGTATTTTGCCACAAAAAGATGTAGTTTTTTAATGTAAAGAACAACCACAAAAAGCACTCGCAGACGAAGCATGAGTGGTACTTTCCAAATGATTTTTATTAACAACAATATGGATTCAACTTTGTCAAGAAGTTACAATTAACATTGTAATGTACTGGCTGATGCCCCTGCAGGGTCAGTGGTAACAGCTTTCATATGCCCTTACCCTGTTGCCAAACTGGCATTTTATCTTGCAAAGAAGTAAAAAATGCTTCCAATAGCAGGTGATGTTGTGTATGTCTGGAATTGTCCTGTGCATAGCTCAGGGTACAGCCACATCTGCGTCCAGATAAACAAACAGGAAAATATTACATGCTTCCACTGACCCTGAGGGGCACAATTCTTATTTCAAAAACCAGTTTTTAGACAGTGACAGCACTTTGTGTGATGTTGTAATCCATTTGAATTAAGTCGATTAACACACTTGAAAAAAAAAAAACAAAAAACTGAAGCAGAAGTATCTGGGGCAAATTCTTTTCTGACCTGTATCTCATTCAAACCTAATGATTCTGTAGATAATCCAAAAGGATTGCATGACATGTGAGTCAGGACAAAAGTTGGCCCAGAGAGGCAAGTTCATTCCTGGTATAGGTGGGTTCAGTTCCTTGAAGGTCAGTGGAACTGAGCCTGGTTATCTCAGCGAAGGCTGAACTTCACCCAGCTGGGTAGAGAATTCATTGAAGTCAAGTGAAGCCATCCAAGGATGAATTTAGCCTCAGGTCTTTAAATTTTTTTTTTTTTTTTTTTAATTCCTTTGCTGTTATATTTCTTTTCCCCCTTACTCCTCTTTTATGATTATTTTCCTTTCCTATGTGCTTTTTTAAAATGTTCCTTCTTCCCTTTTTACATCGGTACTTTGTGCGTTATCTCTTATATAGTCAATGTGACATGGGTATATTCAGCTAAGTATTACTTTCCTCAGGAAATAATTGGAATATTACCATCTTCACTTTAAACAGATGCCCAACAAGGTAAGTATTTGAATCTGAGCTCTCGATTCAAGAAAAATTCTTACTGAATTCGGTAGAATTTTTGCTTGAGTAAGGATTGCAGGTCTCAATCCAGAAATACTACTCTACTTCGGATGTTCTACTACATCAGCAATTCAGTATGATTTGACTTACTGCAGAAGAGCAGGTGAATTGCTCATCACCATGCTGTAATGAGAGCAGTCACTCTAGATAGTGATAGATTAACTTGAAAATATGTAACAACCGTGGGCACTGTGAATAAAAGTGTATGATCTTTGTAATCTTGAATCCTAGGCTAAAACACTATATTCATATTTAAATAAAAAGTATAGATCATGTAAGCCAGGAACAAATACAAATTCTTAAAGAAATAATAATCATCAAAACTATTCTTTTTGGTTCTCTCTTCAATCGAATACAAGAAACATACTGATCAGAAAACAGTTATTTGGATAAAGCTTAATTCCTGAAGCTTTTACTAGGTTCAAATTCTCTCTTCAGCAACCCTCTAATGGATTGCAAGTCAGAAGAAATTTTGTCCTCTGTCCCTAATCATAAGAAATTCTTATTAGCTATCATGAGCTTGAATTTAATAAGCAGCTCAAGACAAGACTTGAAAAGCCAGACAGGTCATTCTTTTGTGAAATCAATGAATGACTGTCAGTCATGACACTGTCATTTAAAGAGAGAGTGCAGAAACAGGAAATTCCAGATGATAAAATATGAGAAAAGCTTATAAAAATCCAAACAAACAATTCTTCCTCTCCATAATTTCATATAGTCACTACTCTTTCTATTTTCTATCAATATTATGTTAAAAAAAAATCCTATATGATAAGACTTGCAGCTACAAAAATAATAATGGTGAGCATAAAAGAAAAAAAAAAATCAGGTTTTTAAACCATGATTTGAAAAGATATGATATTCTAGATTTATTATTACTTTGTAAAGACATTAACATTTTCATACATAATTTATAGAATTCATTCTTTTGTGCACAACATTGTATTAAATAAATTAACTTAAAATTAGAAGGACTCAAGCATGTCATTTAAGGCAAAAATACCAAGTTTCTGTGAGATAAATTATCAGCAAAACCCAAGGCCCTGCTTCTGGTACTGGATGTGTACAGTCAGAGCCAAAGCTAAGTCCTCCCACTGCCTCCTTCCTGGCTCAGTGGGAGGCAGTGATCGGCTCATGGAGGCAAAGGTGGAAGATTGCAGGCCAATTCATGGTGCCTTCAGTTTTCTGTCCCATCAAGGAGGGGAAGAGAGTTTTGTTACTGATGCATGTTGTCATGTGCCTCATGTCGTGCTCCTGAGCTGAACCTAAGGGTGGGTGTATGCTTAGGCTGGCAGGAAGCTTCATATAAAAGGCAAGAAAGGCACCATGAACCACTCAGAAAAAAAAGGAAAAAAGCCTAAAAACTTGTAAGTTTTAAAATTTTGAATTGTACTTTAAACTTTCAAATACGCCTGGATGAACTGCAGACATTCAAATAAGTTAAATGAATGCAAATGTGGAAAAGATCTATTTATCCTCGCAAAATTACTGTTGTAAGCAGGTCTTTGTATAACCAGACTGCACATTAAAGAAAACAGGAAAGGCTGAACGTGGTAAATTATATGGCAAATCAGTGGTGAGTAAATTGTGCTTCAAGGCGTCTTTCAGGATTTAACAGCTGAAGTTTGCTCTGGTGTGAGCCGTGGAGCACAGTGTACCATCCATGGACCCCACATAATGACACAATATATACACTCTACAGTTTGCATGTACTTTCACATAATAAGGTTATCATGTAATATCCAGGAATACTTTTGTAAAGGAAATATGGAAGCAGAAATTACAATGGTTTCATAGTAAACAGATCAAGTCCTTCACAATACAATCTACAGCATTTAGCCATGATTAAGACTGGAGTGACATTTTTGATGTACGTAGTAAGTTCCCAGCAGGTCTGGGCCTTGAGAAAACACTGCCCTGAGTGAGCTGGCACTGGCACCCCCATACATTCACTGTTCCTGCTGCTAGAAGGAAGCTGAGCCCAAGTCAGGTTGTCTACAAGGTTGTGGTGCAGGTAGGGTATGAATATGGGGGGAGGCAACACACAGAAACCTTGTTCAGCTGGGAAAAATGAAAGCCTGGTTAGGCTCTGCGTGGGTTCTTCCAGTGGTGAAGCCTTGCTGGGGATGTGCAGATAGGCACTAACACTGCTTCTGCATCTCAGCAGAAGCAAAGTGCAGGTAGGATAAGAAAAAAGAGGATGTATCAAGCAGGAATGCTCAGTCTGATGTTGACTTTGAATTTTTGAATTTTAAGCCTCAGGTTTTAGGAGGAAAGAGTCTGAAGGTCCTCTACTGGAAACCTTGTAAGAAATGACTGCGGTTGGGACCAAGCTATAAAAGCCAGATCAAATTCTCTCCTCCTCACATTTTATTTTATTAAAAAAAAAAAGAAAAAAAGAAAAAAAGAGCAAAACCAAACAAAAATCACACACAAAAATTAAAAAACAACAACAACAACAACAAAAAAAACCCAAACAAAACAACTGCCTTCAATTTTTTCAGTGAATGTTCTTTTCCTACTTCCATTTCCATTTCTGGTTGCCTCCAATGGCTTCTTTTGAAATAGCACTCACTATCTGTGTCTAAAAGGCTGGAATTAAAAAAATATATATTTTTCTCTCTTTACTTTCCTTCTTTTATTTTCTCGGATAATTTCCCTTCCTGCCCATCTCAATCTTTATTCCTTTTTCTTCATCGATTGTGTTGTCTTTCCCTCTTCCCTGTGTTGTCATCTTTACTTTCACTCTGCATTTCAGTTCCCCTTTTTCCCTCACTCCCCAGCCTCACAAACTACTGTCATGGCATCAGGTTGTGACCCCAATGAAGACTGTCAGATTTTCAAATGAATGAAATACTGCTTCTTCAACGAGAGCAGTGCCTGCATCTTTGCCTCACATACTGCTGCCAAAATGTTTCAGATGCACAAGACAGTTCCTCAGTGAGTCTGGAAAAAGGAGAGATTCCCTTTTCTGAGGCCAGCCCTGATGCTTAGAATACAAACCTTTCGTAACAATAAAACATTCTCATTGTAAAGAACAATGTGATAGTAGCGGTGTGTCGGGTACTCTGCCACAACACTAAATCATCAAAAATCAGATGGATACATTAACATACTGCTTTTCAGAGTTAAAAATAATTAATTACTGATGAGCTAACGTGTGTATCTTGCAACTGGCAGCCATTTCTAATCCCGTATATCTGATTTCCTTGGTACCTTGCTAGCAGCTGTAGATAATTCTTTGTTGTAAACATAAACTATCATCTAAATCAGGACATATATATATATATTTAATTAGTTCAGAAGCAAAGTGCTTTAAATCTTACAATTTTTACTTTCGCCCTGTGGAAACGGCACTAGGTCTAAATGCTCAAATTTTTGCTTTTTGATACATCCTGCAGCATTAGCTTTGTAGGCAATTCATTATTTAAACCTACTGTACTACATGAAAGGCTGCCATACTGTAGGTATAAATCTGAATTTTAGCCATCACTTGAACATGCATTTTCATGCAACTAGAAGATATGGGCTCATTCAACTGCTTTTCAGATTCATCCTGTTTTTGTGATTTTATCTCATTAAAAAGGCTTTCAAAATAGTTCATGCTATGATATGTATGACTAGAGGAATGACTCAGCCAATGAAGAAAGCCTACAAGCTGTTATTTAAGTTTGACATGGAGCAGACTGAGTGCTTCTGTACCGTCCCCTGGCTTGCAAATGCTTTGAGATGATCTTGATATTCCAGTCCTTAGAGAGTCAGTAGAGAGAGTTGTTTCCACTAGTGGGCGAGAGATGGCTTCAGTAGTCTCTGTTCCTGCCTCTGTCTCCAACTCTTCATCAGTTATAAATAATTTTGACTCCCTCCATTTGGAGTATACGTCTTGGCTACCTCTTGAACCACTGGAGTCACTGCCAGTAATCTGTACATTCAGTTCTTCTGTTGATTGTATAAGGTTTTGTATAGATAAAGATTTTCCTAAATCCATTTGCACCACAGGTTTAACTGAGAGCAAAGGTTCCCCTTCTGTATCCAGTCCTTTTCTCCACGTGAGATCCTTGGTTGTGCTGGGCTGAGCGACTTGTCCGTTATCCTTTGATGCAACAAGGCAAGCGGTGACATCAGAAATATTTTCCTGTGTGGTTACAGGAATAATGTGAACGGGCTCAGGCCTACTGATATGCTTCACTGATGAGAAAGGTGGTATTTGCAGTGTTGTTGGAGTTGCTGGCTTAGTTGCCTGGTTTATTTGGTTTGATGTGTTGTTAACTGTTGCATGTCCATCATTTGGCACTTGCGTTGCTTGACTATGCATAGCAGGACTAATAGCATAGTAAGCCTGAGTGCTAAATTCATTTGGTGTCAGTATTAGCTGTAGGCCACGAGGCAGATTGGCACTAGCTGATCTGGATACACATCCACTGATTTGTGCAGAGCTAGACAAATCTTTGCTATCGGATGGACTTTGATAATCAGAAGTCTGCTCACATTCAAAAGGTGGCATTTGAAGTGAAGCCAAAGTGAGCGCTGATGCGGAGCCTTTTCTCAAGACTTGTTGATAAATATCTAACAGGCAGTCCAGTTTTGACTCAATGGATTGTACCTACAGGAGAAGAGGAAAAGCTTAAGATTAATGCAGAATATCATTTTGAAATGTTTGGAACCCAAGCAGAAGGAAAATGAAACTGCTGAAGAGAAAAATGTTAGGAGCTTGATACAAGCTATTGACTCATGAAAAATAATGTCAAAAGCCTTCTAGCTACAAGTTTTTCATAAGCAAGCTGATAAAAAGGGGAAAAATCATTAACTTGCAATTTTTTCAATCTTATTTTTCTGTACATGGAACACAGTTGAAGTAATATGATTCATATATCTTTTATGTCATTGTATATAGGAAGCAGATATCAGAGAAAGCTAGTTTGCATTTGAAACTGGTAATAAAATACACAAAAGTCAAGAGCAACAGAACAAGACAAAACCACAGGCACAGGCAATCACTCTACCTGTTTCTCCACCTTGACTACACGCCCTAACATGCTGAGGTCATCAGTTGTCTCATTCTCTGCTGTATTCTTTTCTCTACTTCTTTTATCTGCAGTGATTTGTCCTTTCCCAAGAATTTGGTCAACACTGTAAGAGAAATTAAAAGCTGCTGTGATTCCTGAAAATGGTGCAGTGTGGAAGTGTTTGCTCTATCCAGACACCGAGTATTAAAATGACAGCGCTTCAGAAGAGCACCTGAGAAAGAAACTAAACTCAATTATATTAGAAAATAAAGGAAAAAATGAGAGATTTTGGAACATTTTGACATAATCTTGCAGAAAGCTTTTCTTTTATGTCGGCACTAACTGGGAGTTAGAAATTAGCCACCAACTGAGAGAGCTGGAGCTGGAATTGCTGGGGTACACACAGTGCAACAGTCATTTTATTACTGCTGGGAACTGAGAACATGATTTCTCTGATCCTATGCTTTAGATGTAGTCCACAATTTCTTTAGTGTGAAAAGAGAATGTCTGGGGAAAAGGGAAGTTAGCAATGTTAACTTAATCCTTCTGACAGCATATGTTCCTCATTTATGAAAGAACTTTTCAGATAAAGGATAACCTTTTCTATCATTCAGGTTTTCATTTTCTGGCGGAAAATTAGATACATGCACTTTTGTGTGTTTTCACACACAATTTAGTTTCTGTCTCGGCTGTGTTCTGAACACAGCTGGGCTGTAGCATGGATGGGCAATCTGTACTCAAATATGACACAGAAATGTTAAATGTTATCAATATTAATTATACAGCAAATGTTACAACAAGATGCCTACTCAGAGCAGAAACTGCTGTTTTCCTACCGTGACTGAAGACTCTTGATCCTGCACAACATGTCTAGATGACCCGCTGAATACTGTTCAATGACATCTTTGACATCATATGGACGAAGTGTTTCCTTAAACTTTCTCTTTGCAACATGAAATTTCATAATTCTGGGGAAGAAGCATTTCACAGATTAATTTTCAAAGTGGTTACAAAGCAATGCAATATTTTCTACTGTCAAAATATTGTCAGATAATTTCTTTTAAGATATTCTCAGTACAGCTTTACAGTTTTCTGTGATGCTTTTGTAGAAATGGGATGTCCACCAAGTAGCTCTTTATGGAATGAAAAGCTTGATTGTTGTATCACAAATTTGAAAGAATAGAAATGACAAATTTGGAAAGCGACTGACAGTGAGCAGATGACAGTGTTTATTATGATATGCATTTAGTAACTGTAAGAGGACAATAAAAATCAATAAAAAAACCAAACACCATCCTGTAGTAGTGTTTGAGTGGAATGTCAGGAAAATCCTACTTTGCATGGTTGGGACAGACATTATGATGCATGGAGTCAGATTATTGGTTATCCTCCACTCATTTCAGTATTATGCACAAATGTGCTTCCAAATAATATCAGCCTTTTCTGACAGCACTCAGGTTGTTATTTCCCATTCTGGTAACTGCCAGTTAAAATGAGATTGCTTGCCACTAACTTGAAATATGATTCTGATTTCAGAAATTAAAATGGAAAAGGCCTGTTAAGAGTAGTCCATCACCTTGACATTTCAGGACTGATCTCCACAAAGTTTTAAATATATCAGATGATGATGCTGCACTTTCCTTTTTTCCAGACTAATAGATTTTGGTGCCTTTTGTCATCTGGAAGTCTCTGAAGGTGGGATGTGGATTTTTTTTTTTTTTTTCCTTTTAGCTGTCAGATGATGGCAGGGCGCTCTGTTTGTAACAATCTGGCAGCACAATCTCCTGCAATCTGGTTCTTTACTCAGGTTATGAAGAATAAATGATGTAGTTGACATACAAGAAAGTATTGTTCTTTTGTTATTATTCTCTCAGTTTAGATGATTTTTTACCTCATTTTTTACCTCATGCTCTTGATAAAAGTGAAAAATACAGACCTCTTAGAAAAGCAAAATTGGTGAATTAATGGAATAAGTAAAGAAAATGTAATATACCAGAACTGTGTGATTTCAAAAGGAAAGAGGCAGACAACTATTTTTTATTAACAACTATAGAATCTTAATCAATGTGCAGAAAACCCTTCATCACCACTTTGCAGGTTTATAGCAACTTCCTGTATTGTAATGTTCAGAAATCAAATACAGCCCCAAAAGCAGCATGGTAAGTTGTAACTATGCTGCTTCTGGTTGAGGTATTAGCTCATGTGATGCCATCTAAATTAACTTCTGCAGGGTTTGAAACAGACCCTCATTGCTTACTTCTTTTTACTTCAAATACATACAATTTTACATAAACTGCGAAAAAAAAAAAGAAGAAAAAAGCTTATAAAAAGCTGGCACTTTAAAAGCCTGTGAGTTAATTACGAACATGAAACACGAACTCTTTCAGCAATGGAGCCTAGCAACTGCTCCGTGGTTATTAAATTCAGTTGATTCTCCATAGTTATTTACTCTCAACTTACAAAGCTCAAATGTCTTTCAGTATCTAGAAATAACTATCTAATTGAGCTTGATAGCTTTGAACACCCATTTGGAAAAATTATTACAACTATACAGAGCGTATTCAAAAATAGCAGTTGAATTGAGAATAAAAAGCTTTTGAGCTTCCTTCATTTGTGCTTCTGGAAAAAAAAAAAAAGGGACCTACTCTGTGTTAAAAGTGAAGGTGGGCAACACACCTGTACAAATAAAAGGGAATATGAGCAAAAATTACTCATATTCTCTAGGCTACCAACAGTAGGGACAGAGAAAGCAATCAGAACATAGATAGCATGGTGTGTCTTTTCCAGCTACACCACACGGGGGCAAAAAAGACTCGTCAGAAACGAATCGAGTTGCCACTGGCAATCCCTGTTAGCGCGGACATAGCAGCAGTAACTTAAAGTAAGAATTAACCCAGAGGAACAAAACTGTGCACGTCTCACCGTTTTTTAAAACGTTGTTTCTATTTTTAAATCACTGTATGCCATGCTGGAATGTGTTGTTTTTATAACTCAAATATAATGTGACAGAAGACATGCTGTTCTATAAACCTGTCACAGTCATCAGCACCACTGTTTTTCTGGTGAGAATTAGCCATAAATTGTAGCCTTTTTCAATGATGCATCCAGAGAGCAGAAAAAAAAAACATTCTTTTCTGTTGAATTAGACCAACATGTCCTGTTAATTGTTAGAATAGCAATTTTTGCCTGACCTTCATGATCGGTACTGATAGAGAATTACAGTGTTGCCTGAATTTGCAAGTTGCATACATTACTTGCATTTGTTGCATTTGATTTTCTTTTCACGCCATGTCTTACATCACTGAAAGGTATTATGCTTACCATTAATGCACTGAGACTGGCACCAAGTCATAACATCTCTAACCATCCCTGCAGCCCTGTCATATGCATGCTGTTTTTTGAGCCTATATCCTGTCAGTCTTGCCACCATCTCAGGAGGAAATGGAGCATCACTGCACTAGGATTGCAGGCAAACTCATATACAAGTCCTGCCATAAATATTAAATTTGGGTAGGTCATTCTGCCCATGAAATACCCACAGTTTGTTTGCTTACTCTCTATATCAGGAAAACAGATACACACAGATATAGCTGTGTCGATTCCTCCATCCCACTATTCTTAGCTTGCTAGATAACTCTGAACTGCAACATGCAGAAGATATCTGGATCCAATACAGGGAAGATAAAATAGACATAGGTGGTGATGAGTTAGATTCACTATGTGTAGGGCATCTGGGTCTATACCATCTCCTCTTTGGAGCCTTAACTTGTACAAACCCATTGCCTAAAAGCCAAAGACATTGCTTTCTCCCAAGCTCAATGCTGTAGTACCCAAAGACTCATCAAAGACCCTTGTTGAAATGCTGAAACACATTGTGCAGAAAATACACAAGGCATTGGGATTGAAAAGAAGCAGAGGATTCTGAAACAACACAATGACTTTTTGTAGAGGTAGCAGAAACATTTCCAAGACTCAAGATAAATAGAAAATCATATTTTCCTTCTTCTACTATTAAATATGTATGACTATTCAGCTGCACAGCTTATCAGCTCAGGAATTCTCATGTTTCGTTATATTTAGCTAAATTTATTATTATTTCCTATTAACAACAAATGAAAATACATCTGTGCAATCACTAGAGTTAAAGAGAGAAAAGACCTCTTAGGTCAACAAGTTCCTCTTCCTGCCCTTGCAGTTATTCCCTACTGCATATTTATTTATTCTTTCTAATTTTGTGTTTCATAAATAATACAATAATTTCAGCATTTCTGTTGTTCTGTATTACAAATCTTAGAGCCTTATGCTATGAAAAATGATCAGAGATTTTACCATATATGGAAACAAATTAGTCTTGGTCTCTCTTCTATACTTGTGAACTAAATGTGAACTAACAGTGAGAGCTGAGTCTCCAACAGCTCTGATAGCAGGATATGAACAGCTTTTTGCTCACAGCAAGGCTACAGCCAGTTGATTAGTGCAACAAAACCTGCTGACAAAGAAGCTAGCTAGCAAGAATTGCTTTTGTGCACTGCTCTTGGAGGCCAGCTTGCATCTGCAGGGAGCAGGACTCTTGCTGGCCTGAAGTTAGATGCATCTCTCATCTAAAATGCACTGCTCATCTCAAAAACATTTACAAATGCACAGAGCAGTTTTTCCTTAATTTTCCTACTGCCTTAGGTTGGAGGCAAATGGAGAGTTTGCAGTAAAGGGGATGGAAGGAGTGGCACAAAATCTGTACTGAGGAAGGCTCAGCTGGGGAGCTTTGAAAGGAGGTGGGCAGCTTGAAGGGTTATGGGCAGCTCTGTGCAATGGGTCTTCAGTAGGACCACCTGGGAGTCCTGTTTTCTGAAGGTGATGTAGCTGAATGGATTCTACTGTGTGCTGTTGAGGTCTTTTGTATTCTATTGATTGAAGCTATTCAAGTACCTTCTGTCCTCATCTGCTCCTGTATACTAGCATGAAAGGAAAGCTTCCACCCTCCCCTGTTCCTTTGCAATTCAAAGCCGATGCTAAAAACAAACTTCAAAATGAGGGACAAAGTTTCCATATGGACAGATGCTATCATCTTGAAATTCTACAGTTACTATGTAGTGTCTCAGATCCTTCTTCAGATGTTTGCATAGATCCCAGTGTGGTCAGGTAACAGACACTCTGAATAACAAGAAAGAGGAGTATCAGCTATCTGACAAACTGAATTATCAGTCTCTTGAATTTGGGAGGTTAAGGTTAACAAAAGTCTGAAGAATATTGCTTATTATACTTTAAATATCTCAAATAAAGATGTGTTATTGAAGAAAGATATGATATACTAACATTTGCAGGGAGAAATGGTACAGATTCTTGGCTGACAGCAAGTGGAAATGCAAAATTCTTCTCAACCCATTGGTGAAATGAATTCTTCAGTAAGCGGAGTACACAAAATTGGAGATAATCTAATAAGTTTACCATTACTGGTTGAATAGTGCATTACTGAAACAATGAGACTGCTGCATCTTTGATATTTTTAGAAAATTTCTTCAGATGATCCTGTGGAGGAAGTTTGCCAGCAATGGCCTTTGAATTCAGCGCCTTTCCATTAGAGCTGATAACTACCAAGAGAACCTGAGCAGAACTTGAACCAGGTGGACCCAGAGGTCCCTGCCAACCTCAGTTATTCTGAGATTCTGTGAAAAGATGCGGGTGATGCACTGAAAACAATTCAGTGGTGTCCTTGAAAAGAAGCCCCAATAATTCAGCTAGTACTAAAATATCAAGTTTTAAGGAATTTGGACAGTATTAAGAATGAGATGGCCATTAGTATCATTTGCCAGTACAGTGGCAAGGTGCACTTGGAGCCAGGATTCAACCAGTCTGTTTAAAATGCAACATCCCAGACAAGCATCTTTGGCACCAGAGCCAAAATATATGCTGACTGTTCCGAATTTGAACCTTTTCCATTCAGAGGAACAGGTCTGCCTTGTAGCTGAACGCTCACAGTATATAAGGATTTCTGTCACCTGTTGAAGCACTGTTGACAAGAGATGGTTCACAGCAGTGACATTTAAGTAGCCCGTCGCAGTGGCTGTGGGCATGGAACTGGTATCTGACACGTTCTGTGAGGTCATTTCCAGGCAGATTGGAAAGATGGTAGAAACAGACATCTGCAAGTGATCTGTCAAGCTGCCTTGGCTTGCAGAAGAGAATTAGAAACTGCCTTACCAGCTATCTGTCTACATTGGCAATCAGTGGAAAAAGGGGAAGGAAATACAAGCAGCTTGTGCAGGTTCCCGTTGTATAAATTATTTGATAAAGAACTTGAGTTCATTCTTCTAGCACTGAGAGAACTAAGGCAAGAATCCCCCTTTAAGAAAACAACACCTTTCCATTGTTTTTTTGCAGAAACCCCCTGTTGCTGGTGCCTGCCTCCTGAAGCAGTGACCAAGTGTGATACAGGGCCCAGCGGGCAACCCCCAGACATAGCACCAGGTTTGATGCAGGCAGACAGGGGACGACAGAGCTCTCTTTGCTTATCAGTTTACTCTTTATGGTGGCAGGTTTGCCTGTCAGGAATTTCACTTCAAAATATTTAGTACAAGAGCTTTGGCAGTCTCAGGAGGGTGAATACTAAATTTAAGCATTCAATACTGGTAATTTTATAAGTTTCAATGTAGTTTTCTACTTCCTTGGAAAAGAAGGTAACTATTAGTTTTAAATCACTGGGGTAATATTTACTTCAATGGCAGGCAAGGTTTTGCACAATTGAATGAATGTCATTATCCTGCTGGTACCAGAAGAAAGTTGCAGTAAAAGCCAGATGACGGTTTCAGGAATATGGAAATGCAATGAAAATGTAAACCTTTGAAGGAAGTAACTTTTCTGAGCAAGGTGATATACATTCAGTAAAGCTACATCAAAATTAAATACAGTAATTTCGATTACAGGAAATATACTAGAAACCAGCACTCATTATTCTCTTTCTTTTCGTAGCCAAATCACACGATACTTTTGGAAACTGAAAAGCTGACAATGGAAGAGAAACGATGAAGACAAAGGACGAGTAAACCATATCAGCATTAGTTATGTGACAAATACAGTTGTGTAATATGTTCAACTAATTGACATGCAATTATTTAGTGCCTTAATTACAGAAATCTGAAATATTTATTCACTCGGTATTTTCTACTCACCTGATTGCTCTGATGACAGTTTTAAGTGCAGGAGTGAGATCTTCTACTGACACATCACACTGGCACCCTTTATCATCATAAACATCATCTGTTCCAAGACTGGTGTCAGCTACAATATACGAAACAGAACAAACAATAAGCATTTAAAAATGCCTTCCTTAGTGTTGTTTTCTAGCTGCCTGCACAGTCATACAGGAAAAACAGGAACTACAAATCAAGTATTAAAAAGCTTCATCAGTTAATGAATTATATAACATGCTTGTCTGTGTTTAGGCTTGTGTCATAAAAGGACCAGGATGCCCTCAGTGAAAATGATAGAATTTAGAAGGGAAGAGAGCCCTGTTATTTTTCATACAAATGAATAGTGAGTTCTGGTAAGTTGTATACTATCTCAGTGTTTTTCATCACATTCGCTATCTTACGTGAAAGTGGTGAGTTAGCAGATATAAATCAAAGAAGCAAAATACACTGAACTTATATTAAATTGTTGTTTTTTTACCGCCATGAATGAACTTTTCAGACAAAGGAGAAGATCCATTTCATTTATTAAGAAGGCTGTGCAATGATGCAATACTTAGTTACAGGTAAAAAATAAACAAAATATCTTTTTGCCAGAATTGAATAGAGAATGATACTCATCATAGATTAACCGCCCCCTTAAACTTCACAGACATGTAGATTCTGCAGTATTCTTTTGCAGCAGGCACTCAAGTTAATGTATTTGTTTGCCTGAACAAAATAGATCCTCTGTTCTTTCCTAACATTGCCCTGCAGGGTTACCATTTGTGAATCAATTAGAAATCTCAGAAGGGCTCCATGTATCTCAGTTCTCAAGAAAAAAAGGGAAGGATGCGCAACCAAGACGATTTACAAACTCCAAATGCACAGGAATGGGAATGGAGGAAGGAAGGCAGGATGCCCATGTCATACATATATTGAAAGACAGAGGAAACCTGTCTTGAGGGTAGGTGTTTTTTCTCCCAAACAGTCTCTCATCACCTGCATCAAGTCCAAGTGTCCAGGAAAAATTTCAGAAGGAAGGTAAGTGCATTTTAACTCAGTGTTTCTACTTCATAAAGAAGAAAATGGAAAATGAAGGAATAACACATGAAATAGAGAAAAAAGGATGGAATTCATTATTCCTTAATAACAAAGGAGATTTCTTTACAGTCTTACATCCCTACGCATATTCATGCTATTACTTAAAACATAGGCTCAGTCACTCAGAAACACTGCAAGTTAAACATTTCAGATGACTTCACTGTAATCAATTTTGATCCACAAACAAAAACATCTGCAGGACATTTTTGCAAGTTCCCATTTCACAAAGATTGCAAATTAAAGATGAAAAATATTCTTCATCATGCTGAAATGCACAGAAATTTCATGTAATCTTTTAAACCTAATCAGAATACTATCTTAAAATAAACAGCATTGTACTAAGCTGCATTTTCTGGATCTGGTATTGATGCATTGTCTTTACAGATTTAATATTTGGCCATAATAATTTATTTTGATGAGATGTGACCTTAGAAGTTATGCGCTAAAATATTGAAAGAGTCTTAAAATGTAAAGGTCATTAGTTCAAAGAACATTTTTGGACAGAAGCTGAAAAATAAGTTTGTGGTATTTTTCAATTCCTCATAAGACCTTAACCTTGTGTTGCGGTAGTTTCGTGGTTGGCGCTGTTCTGACAGGAAATGATAGCAAAGATCACTTTTATGTTTTCTGGGATTCATGAACTAAAACCACCCCTGACAAAACCTAAGTATTAGTATTGAACAGAAAGAGGGATATAGAAAACAAGTGTTTTGGTTAAGGCCATCTATCTGTGGCAAAACAGAGCCTACTCTGCCTAGTTCATTAGTCTCTAGAACATATTTTCTTTTTTGACTGTTGCTGAACTGTTATATCCATGATGGACATCTACCATAATTGTGAAGAACAAAAAACAATTATCTTTCACAGATCAAGTTAACACAATAGAAATGGCTTATAGCAGAGACAATAACGTCTTCAATTACATGCACTGAATAATCAAATGAAACCTTAAAAAAATTCAGTTTTACATCATGAAAATGAAGTTTTCATACACAACTGGTATCTTCCCTTCTTTGCCATTGTTGTAAGCCAAGCCTTCAATGATGTTAAGAGTGCTTTTTACTGGCGCTCTTTCAAAAGCTTTACTACTGACTTTGCATATCGTATCTCTCCACTTCTCCTGCCTAACTAATATTTACATTTCTGCCCAAAAACTACAGTTAGCTAAAATAAATTATGTAATTAGGTTTTTGGGTATACACAGTATTTAAAACCGCATCCCCAGAGATGCTGAGTATACCATGACACTAACTTTCTAGATGTTATGTCTGATTAGCCTCTCCAGTCCTTCCAGTGCTGAAATCTCCCAGCTCATTCCTAAATTCCGTACCAAAAGTTGAGTTCTGTACATTACTGGTATTTCCAGTGGCTGGCTAGGGTTGTAAACAAAATCAGTTATTCTGGTGTAAATTAGGGATAATTTTGCTAAGGTCAGAAGAACTACAGCCATATAATCCCTTGTGAAACAGGAGACTCCAACTTGAAAGTTTAAAATAAACAGTTTCTATATGATTATCTCACTGATACAGTTCCTGCCAAGTGCAGTCTCATTAATAAAAGGTCCTCCTTAATGCAGCGTATCTTTGCAGAACTGTTCTGAGAACAGTATGGTGCAATTAGAGTTTCATGTTGCTCTCATGTGGATACAAAATCAGCAAAATCTTTAAACGGACACTGGAAAATTCTTATAAATTTAAGCCAGCTTTAAGAAGAGATACTGCTCCTAATAAATCACCTTCTTATATTTTTTTCTTTTCTAATATTCCCACTGACATGAATTTCCTCCATTATAGCAGGCGCTCAGTACTACATGTCAATAAAACTTGAGAAAAGCTATAAACCTTGTTTGATTCATATGGGAAACATTCATGTTTCTTTTTAATACTAAGCAGACTTGGGAAAAGGTTTGAGAAATACATAGTAAGAATTTGGAAAAAAAAAATCCAGCTTAAAAAGCCACTGAACTCGAAGTTCACATTCTGATGAATTTTTCCAGTGGAAGTTCATGTTGTGTACAACATAGTTATGAGGTGAGATGTTCTTGTATCACTTCTGTCTCTCTCAAGTTCATCCCTGAGGTCGGGGCTATGCTGGGGCCAGCTTGGCCCCTGCAATGGCTCCAGCTGTTAAAATCACTGCCAGTTCCCAGACAGGATTGAGCTCCGGCCTCTGACAAGCCTTGCTCTGTGCTGCCTCCTGTCCTCAGAGAGGTTCCTACCCTTGGTTCCTAACTAAGGGCAGGCAGGCCCTCCAGTGCCATCTCACGCTTAGCCCTGAACACAACTACTCCTTTCCCCATCTCTGTACCCCTTAGCCATGTCTCCTGCTCCCCATTAGGGTCCAGGCCTCCCTAGGATTAGCAACAGTCTGGCTTTTTCTCCAGGAGCCTCTGCCACTAGCTAAACAGGTCTTCCAATGTCCTATGCACCTTTTAGTATAGCATTAAGACATACTCCTGGAATTCTCCTTAGAAGGAGTTGAACAACTCGGAAACAATTCCTCTTTTCTAATACCAGCATATTTACAATTTAAGATGTGTTTTGATCCTAAGCTTCAGTCTGTCTGTGTAAGTATTTATACTGGTATTTGTTTCACAACTCATTGGCCAGCCGCGAGTATCTTACAATCTTTGATGTTATTTACTTTGGGTCACTGTCTTGTCTTTGCCTCTTATTAATTTCTTCCTTTCTTCCTTAACGGCAGTCTTTGAATTAACATACAGCAAGTAAGCAATTACCAACAAATAGAAAGAAGCATTAATGTCATTAAAATTACATGCATATTTCCCAGTTTGTCGCACTGTTTATGCATTCTTCTTGCAAACTCTTCAGTTATGATCACCCCAAATGAACAGAATAAAGATTACACTGTTCAGTAGCCTTATATGCCACTAACAAAAAAATTATCAGTATGTAGCTGCATTTCATATGACTCTGTGCAGAAGTTATGTGCAAGATTTGATTTATTATTTCCGTACGTATCTTACATCCTTTCATCATAATTGGGAAAACTGTACCACTGCTCTGATCACCCTCATAGCTTCATGATCTCAATGTCAGTAATATTTGAGCAATTATGTGCCCGTTGAACAGAACAGAAAATATTTTCTACTCCTGTCTTTGTTTTCTGGAACTGTCAACTGCTAACATCAACAGTCCAACACTAATAAGTGCCTGTGCAGACACCATGAATAGCCTATGGTAATGTTCCTAACACTTCAGTATTGATCCCAATGTAGACCCTTTCATTAGTTTTTGCAAAGCCTACAGATGTGCTTCAGTCTTCCTGTGAATCTGCAGAAGATAGCTTGAGCTGTTTGTATGGGTGATGTAAGTCATTTTGTTGAGGTTAAGTACTCACCTCTCAGACTAGGCAAAATATGTATAGGTGCCCAAAGTTGACAGCTTGCAGATGACCCTCAGTTATTCATGATACAACGCAGTCTTACTTCAACTTGTTAAAAAAAATCAACAACACCGATTTGAAAAAAAAATCTGAATGATTTCCATTTTCATGCATGACTTCAAGTGAAAAATAGCTGGTGGCCTAATTTTCACAGATGCTTAGTTACAGCAAGCCATACTTGCCCAGAGAGGTTGTGGATTCCCCGTTGCTGGAGGTGTTCAAGGCCAGGTTGGATGGGGCCCTGGGCAGCCTGGTCTGGTGTTATGGAGGTTGGCGGCCCTGCATGTGGAGGGGGTTGGAGCTCCATGATCCTTGAGATCCCTTCCAACCCAGGCCATTCTATGATTCTATGATACTTAATAACTAATGTTGGAAATTCAGAACTCAACATAGGAATTGAGGCTCAAACAATCCGTAATTGTTGAGGTTGGAAGGGATATCTGGAGGTACAAGCCCCTTGTTAAAACCTAGAATGCCCATAAGGTAGGGACATTTCACTTCACTTTGCACTGCCTTTGAAGTACCATTCTGTACCTGCAGTACTTGCTGTGAAAAGTTAGGTTTTTAGCCCTTATTCTCTAAAATATTGTCATATCCTCAATT